TGTAATGAAAACAAAAATATGTACCAAAAAGTTCCGTCACAAAACTGAGCGATGCTCGATCAACCAATATGTAATTATGTAGGTACTTACATGACTGGGAACACTCTCGGGAACACCACGGATCCCTCTGCCAAGTACTGGTATAATATTCTTATCTCATCCTCGTCTGTAATCACCGACAAATACATTAGTAATTGGCTACTTTCTTAATCAAAAATAAATTATTTCGACTGTTCAATACAATCTATCTATATAAATAAAAATGAATTTCTGTTCGTTAGTCTCGCTAAAACTCGAGAACGGCTGAACTGATTTGGCTAATTTTGGTCTTGATAGGTTCGTGGAAGTCCAGGGAAGGTTTAAAAGGTGAGAAAAAACTTTTAGGCGGTACGTACGAAGTTTGGGTCAGCTAGTACAATATTAAAAAATAATCACGCTTGCATTTATTGATTTTATGACCAACTTAATATTAGTATATTTCCAGCAAATTTAAGAAATAAGTATGCTGTTTGACCCTGAAATATTAATTTCACTAAAAATTTGGTCAAAATATAATAATGCATTTGGACTAAGAGTGAAGGTAAAACCGCATTCTAGAAAAAGAAGTGAAATCCCACCAAAAACATTCTGTATAAAACTAGCCAAGGGTTTTTTTTTTATATTATAGATTATTTCTCCACGGACTCTAGGTCCGTGCCCTTGTCATACAGTTTTTTAATTATAATACATCTAGTCAATTTTTATGAAGTAAAGAGGGAACCTAGTTACACACTACAATTAACTACATTTTTTTATTTATTTATTTATTTATTTATGTACACACATTCAACACAGAGGACAACACATATATAAAAACAGAGTACATAGGCCCCATATATTCCAACTGGAATTTGTTCCTGTGGGCCTGTGGCAGGAAAAGATATAATAACACTGAGACACATAGTGTGTTACACAAACAATAAAAAATAATAATAATAACGAAGAAACCGATAGAAATAACAATAATAAACAATAAAACAAACTAATACAATGCTATTATACAAAAAGAAATAAAAAAAAAATAACCTTTATATAAATATACCTACATATATATATATAAATATAGACAAAAAGATCTATATTTCAGGAGGAAAGATAATGTTCTCTCACTTGTCTCTTAAAGATAGAGATTGACTTGGCATCCCGAATGTTCGGCGGGAGTGAGTTCCATAGTCTCACTGCATGAACGGAGAAGGAGTAGGAGTAGAAGTTGGTATTATGGGGCACAATTTTAAGATAGGATTTAAGATGAGAACGAGTAAGGACTTCAGGAGGACGCACCAAGGAGAAACGGTCTCGGAGATAAGTAGGATAGGCTGGGTTGAACAGGATGTTATAGAGGAGACATAATATGCGAGTGTTCCTGCGAAGACGGATTGGGAGCCACTTGAGCCTGTTACGAAATTCAGA